GCAAGTGGGTCCTTGTGACACACGGGGATGGGGGCAGCCAGCGCTCAACCTGTCATCCACGTGGCTGGCCTTGTACGTAAGAGGTTATGAACAGGTGGAGCTTTCCTTACCTCCTTCCCTTTCCCTTTTTTCCTTTTCCTTTTTTCTTTTCCCTTTTTTGCGCTCTGATTCACAATGTGACAATATATACGTAGTCAAACAACGCTGCCCGGTAAACCGTAGGCAGAGAGGGAGGGAGAAGAGGACAACAAACGAGGGGCCGTGACAAACTGTTTCGTCGGAGTTTCACCTACCTACTCATCAATCAGTAGAGGCTGAACCCTCAACAGTCTGCAGAATCCCCTAATAACTAATTACAATGTAAGTGACAATCCACCTTAATTAACCCCGGCTGTGGTTACGCATCAACGACTGCCCGACAACTGATACCCTGAGGTGGTGGGGACCACCAGCCACTGCCCTCAAGGTACCTGTGACGAAAATCAAATCAGACTATCACTCACCCACACCAGATGGAAAACTCTACAGACTGTCGGTTCACTGGTGGTTTAATTGATCAAATCATATTCCCATTGACCTGACTGGGTTAGGATGTAGAGTTTGTCTATAGATAAGAGAGAAGCGAGGAAATGACCTCCGCTGAACTCCTACCTTCTTTTCTTTTCTTTTCTTTTCTTTTCTTTTCTTTTTTCCCTCTTTCTTTGTTTTCCCTTTCTTTCATGTTTCATCCTCCTCTTTTTTCTCCGTTCGACTCTCTTCTCTCTTTTCTTAAAAGGGTGACGTCCTTGAGATATCACCATCGACGTGACCGGCCCTAGGTAATTCAGAAAATTGTAGTTTTTTCAGTCATCTGCTTCCAGTGGAGTTCGATCTCAGGAATGTATACAAGCTATATTTCTGGTCAGGTGTATAGCCAAAATGAGGGTTCGTTGCGTTCGGCGGAAGACGGTACCAACTGAACTACCTTCTTCCGCCGAAAACAACGCAGGTACCGTCTTCCGCCGAACACAACGCACCCTCATTTTGGCTATACACCTGACCGGAAATATAGCTTGTATTCATTCCACAATAAGGGTGCGTTATGTTCGGGAGAAGACGGCAGGCCAGATGGTAATGCCTACCGTCTTCACCGCGGAAGAGAACGCAGGATAGTACTCTAATAGCTGCGCTTGGGAGAACTTGGTCTAGATAGAGCTATAATGACCGTGCTTTTGGCTAATGACAAACCATTGTTTTTCTTGTTTAAGAAAAAAGAAAGAAAAGGAAAGGAAAAAAAAAAAAAAAAAAAAAAAAA